GGGAGGCTGTGGAGTCCCCTTCTCTGGAGATTTTCAAAACCCGCCTGGATGCAGCCCTGAGTAATGTGCTCTGGGCAATCCTGCTTTAGCAGGGGAGTTGGACTAGATGATCTCCAAACGTCCCTTCCAACTCTGAAAAGTCTGTGATTCTGTGATTCTCATCAACCACCACCCCCAAGTCCCTCTCCTCAGGGCTGCTCTCAATCCATTCCCCCACCCCCACCCCCCCACCCCAGCCTGTATTTGTGCATGGGATTGCCCCAGCCCACATGCAGGACCTTGCACTTGGCCTTGTTGAACTTCATGAGGTTTGCACAGGCCTACCTTTCAAGCCTGTCCAGGTCCCTCTGGATGGCATTCCTCCCCTCCAGTGTGTGAACTGCACCACACAGCTTGGTGTCATTGGCAAACTTGCTGAGGATGCACTCAATCCCACTGTCCATGTCGCTGACAAAGATACTAACCAGCCCTGGTCCCACTGCCAACCCTTGACGAACACCACTTGTCACTGGTCTCCACTTTGACATTGAGCCATTGACTTCAATTCTTTGAGAGCAGCCATCCAGCCATTTCCTTATCCACCAAGTGGTCCATGCATCAAATCCATGTCTCTCCAATTTAGAGAGAAGGATGTCATGTGGGACAGTGTCAAATGCTTTACACAAGTTCAGGTAGATGACACCAGTTGCTCTTTCCTTATCCACTAATTCTGTAACCCCACCATAGAAGGGCACTAAATTTGTCAGGCACGATTTGCCCTTACTGAAGCCATGCTGGCTGTCACCAATCACCTCCTTACTTTCCATGTGCCTTTGTAGAGTTTCCACGAGCATCTGCTCCATGATCTTGCCTGGCACAGAGGTGAGACTGACTGGGCTGTAGTTCCCTGGGTCTTACTTTTTTCCTTTTTAAAAATGAGGGTTATGTTTCCCCTTTTCCAGTCAGTGGGAACTTCACCAGACTGCCACGTCTTCTCAAATATGACGGATAGTGGCTTACAAGTTCATCTGCCAGTTTCCTCAGGATCCGTGGATGTATCTCATCAGGTACCATGGACCTGTGCACCTTCAGGTTTCTTAGATGGTCTCAGACCTGGTCTTCTCCTACAGTGGGAGGTATCTCATTCTCCCAGTCCTTGACTTTTCCCTCTTCCACTTGTAGTGGAGTGTAGCCACAGGGCTACCGCACTTGCTGGTGAAGATCAAGGCAAAAAAGTCATTGAGTACCTCAGCCTTGTCCGCATCCTGGGTGACCAGGTCTCCTGGTTCCTTCCAGACAGGGCCTAGATTTTCCCTAGTCTTCACCTTGTCAGCGACAGAGCTATGGAAGCTTTTGCCCTTGATATCCCCAGCCAGATTTAACTCTATCAGGGTTTTAGCTTGCCTAACCTCATCCTTCGCTGCTCAGACAATTTCTCTGTATGCCTCCCAGGCGACCTCTCCTTGCTTCCACCCTCTGTAGGCTTCCTTTTTCTGTTTCAGATTGTCCTTGTTCATCCATGCAGGCATCCTGGTGTTTTTGCCCAACTTCCTCTTTGTTGGGGTGCATGGGTCCTGAGCTTGGAGGAGGTGATTCTTGAATATTACCCAGCTTTCTTGGGACTCTCTTCCCTCCAGGGCTTTATCCCATGGTACTCTACCAAGCAGATCCCTCAAGAGGCTGAAGTCTGCTCCCTGAAGTCCAGGGTCGTGAGCTTACTGTACGCCCTCCTCGTTGCCCTAAGGATCATGAACTCTACCATTTCACAGTCGCTGCAGCCAAGGCAGCCCTTGAGCTTCACATTCCCCACCAGCCCCTCCTTGTTGGTGAGAACAATGTCCAGCATGGCACCTCTCCTCATTGGCTCCTCTATCACTTGGAGAAGGAAGTTATCATTGATGCATTCCAGGAACCTCCTGAATTGCTTATGTCCTGCTGTGTTGTCCCTTCAACAGATATCGAGCTGGTTGAAGTCCCCCATGAAGACCAGGGCTTGTCAACATGAGGCTGCTCCTATGTGTCTTACGCCTTACCCACTCTGTCTTCCTGGTCAGGTGGCCTGTAGCAGATCCCCACTGTAACATCACCTGTCTCTACCCTCCCTTCAATCCTGACCCATAGGCTCTCAGTTGGCACCTCATGCATCCCCAGGTGAAGCTCCATGCACTCCAGCTGGTCCTTGACATAGAGGGTGACACCCTCTCCTCATCTCCCCTGCATTCCTTCCTGAAGAGCCTGTGTCCTTCCATTCCAGCACTCCAGTCATAGCAGCCATCCCACCATGTCTCCGTGATGCCAATAACATCATAGCCCTGCCGGCATGCACACGTCTCTAACTCCTCTGGTTTATTGCCCATGCTACGTGCGTTTGTATAGACGCATTTAAGTTGGGCCACCGATGAAGTTGACTTGCTGAAATTCCTTTGTGCTGCACTCCAGGTGCTATTCCTATATTCATTAATTGTATTTTCCAGTAACAGATTTTAAATAATATTTGACTAAGAGTGAGAGAAACATCAAGAAAAAGGTAACTTTGCCCATCTTGTCTGTTTGGCTCTCCCCACAGCAAATTCAGCTGCTGTTGTTGTGTGTTACTTTTCTTTCTTAGGTAAGAACTGTATTGTCTCAGCTTTGCAACAAAAGCTGTTAATACATTTTATTGGTAAGAATGCTACCACATTATGTCCATGTTTTATTGATGACTTCGTCACTGTAAAGACTATCTGGTGGTCAAATCCACCTGAATGTCTGCACTATAGTAATTTTAATACAAGGTTGTAATTTAAATAATTTTATCAACAATTACTATTATCATCTATTCACAAACCTGGAGCAGAGGAGAACCCTTCCAAAGGAGAAAGTTAAGTGAGATGACAAAATAAGAGTCTCCCTCTGTAAAAAAAACATGCCAAGCTTGTGCCTTACTGAAGCAAAACACTTTTGACAGCAACTGCCAATTTCTTGAACTGAAAGCACTTTGCAAAAAAACACCACTTTTAATTACACTTCATGCATTTTGTCCAGCCAACTATGGCACACATAGTTACAGTCCCTCAGAAATTGCTGTTCTTCCCTATCAGCTCATTTGGCTGGGACCTCAGCATACTCGCCTGCAAGTCAGTCGAGCTATAGGACAGCCCCAAGAACCTGCCATTTCCCCGCTTTTCTCAAGCTCAAGGGAATTCTTGCTACTCTTCCACATCCCCAGGTTACACATAGCCTGCTGAATGTCCTCCCCCTCAGATGAATATGAGCCTCGTTCTTGGGACTACTAACAGCCTCCACCTGGACAGGTCCAGCGCAGGTCTGAAAGAACCCTTCGCAATTTGCAGGATTTGGCTAATAGTAATTGTCATACCTGATTTCATATAGGTGAAAACAGTATAAAAAAAACCAAATTAAAAGGTCTGCCATGTTTGTTACTTAACCTTTCCCTTCTTGTCAGCATACTCATGTAAACTGTTTACATGTAAAAAAAACCTAATGCTTTTGTTCGGTTTTACTTTCCTAAGTACAACTCCTTAATATTTTATCAAGTTAACTGATACTAACAAACCTAATACAGCTTCATCAAAGACATCTTTCCTCCAGACATGAGCTAATCTTGCCTTCAGTTTGTACAAAAATGTGTCCTAAGCTATGATGACAAATTCATATGGATAAACATGAATAGACTATACAATACATAAAGAGTTACATATGAAAAGAGAAATGAAAATATTGTGTACTTGTTTTCACAATGCAGCTTTCAACATTGCATATGCTTTACTACTCCCTCAAACACTGTCATTCCTTGCCCTACTGCATTCTAATTTTACCTCTGCAAAATCTACAGTGAAGGGAACAGGACCCAGACCCTCCTGTATGAAAGTAGGAGCAGATCTCCAATTGCATATAATGATGAATCTATGTTCAGTTTTCTTCAGATGCAAGGATGAGAGGAAGCTGTTTGTTTTTGTCATGTGTGGAAAATACAACAGAGTTTCTTTAACTTACAGATTTGATGTCAAGTTTCTATGGGCTTAAATGCAAGAGCGACTAAAGTGTAATTTTATAGAGAAGGTCCTGAAACAGATGTGATGCAGCTGGCATCAAATGAAGAGTGAAAGCCAGCAAACATTCCCTATGTATCATGGGTTAGATAACTCTTCATGCAACAACACCCTCTGCAGAAAAGGAACTGCTACAAAGGAAAGAACTTCCCAGCGGAGGAACCCTGTCCACTTTGAAGTAATCATTAATTTTTGTCTCAAAGATTAACCTAAAGCTCCAATAACAAACATTTTTTTTTTTTTACTTGAAAATGAGGAAATATAGTTACCATTACTCCCACCTCAAGGCTACTGGCCATTTGCCTCAACTTACCCGCTTATGAAGACGTTCTGCTTCCTCTTGATACGCAGCAAGTTGTTGTTTCCATTGTTTTACGTTGGCAGTGGACTCCAGCAGGGCTGCTGTGAGCTTAGCGTTATTACCCTTGAGCGTGGCCAGTTCTGCCTCCCAATGCTTGCTGATTGTCGAACTGCACAGACAGAATGAGAATGGTCAGAGCCCCCAAATCTCTTCCTTTTTCTTTTTCTTAAAATGCCTTGTAATTTTTTTTTTTTTCAAAATATCCAGGAAAAATAGAATTATGCAAAAATCCTATGACTAAATGTCCAAATGAGAATCCAAATGCTCAAATCATCAAAACTATAAATTCAGAAAATATAGGTACATCATTATAGGAAAACAACCTCTACCCTCCCAGTTCAACAGGGTATTTTTTTTAAATAAAATCTTAAGAATGATGAAACCCACATCAGCTTCGCAAAAGCAACAGTGTATAATTCTAGAGTGTGTATATGATTAGTCACTACTTAGATATATTGAGTGTAAGTGCTTTTTTAACCTACTACTTTATGAAAAGTAAAAGATTTGTCACCATCTTGATTAAAGATAGCTAATGTAGTACTTTGGAACTACAGCTTAGTTGTCTTAATGCAAGTCTTCTATCCCTGAAATACACTTCCTTTATTAAATATCTTATTTAATTTCTACTTACAAAATCAAAGATCTTGAATTTCAACACCTTAATACTATTAATATGCCTGTCCTCAGTAATACCAGCAAAGAGAATAAAGATTGAGGAGTACAGAGATATTATTGCTTTATTGCAAAGAGGAAGCCGATGTTGGGGTTTATTGAAGTAGCCAATGGAGGAAAAATCCTTACAATTTAGTTATTCTCTGAGCAAACACAGGGCTTTAATTATCATATGTAATTAGTTTGCCATCATCCACAGACCCTATCTTTGCACTCAGTATGCAAGGGAAAAACAAATCAGACACATCAGGTGAATGTGTTAGTATGCAAATAGCTCATTAATGTTTACTTGTGCTTACGTAATGTTCACTTGCTAACAACACGTGAGGTGCACACCTACATGGAAAATACATACAGAAAATAATTCATTTTGTCTAATTAGCTTACTATTAAAGGCATCATTGAAAACGAAAGATCTGTAACTCCAGCCAACGTGATTTTGTATATAGGTTTATGATGAATTATGAGGAATTATTATAATCTAATTATTTACTATAATATATTTTGATATGCTTAATTTAATTATAAATTATTACTATTTTGCATATAAGTTTACAGGGTTATTTCAACTTTGTACATAGGAACAATTAAACATTCTGCCACCATTTTGTCCACGGAATTTCTTTCTTCCACTTCATGCATATGCACAGTGCCTTCCACCAAAGCATATTTCAAAAACATTATGACTCTTATAAATGCTCCTTCAGTGTTCAGAATCAACCAGCCACTAAGGAATATTCATTACCAATTCAGATCACATCTACTGTTTCACTAAAACATGATGTCTGATTCTTCCATGCTCCAGCATTTCCTTCCAAATACTATGCTTCCTCCCCTTGAACAGGAATACAAGGTCCTTTAGAAGAGTAATACAGGTTCTTTTCATGATCTATTCAACTAATTAGAAGTTTACCACTGGAAATTTTAAATCTTAGATGACTAAACTAAAGTAATTATAATCCTACTTCATCGGGGAACCTTGACTGACATATTAAAGAAGATGAGAACAAACTTCTGTAACAACGTCTACTCTTCTGTCTCCCCCTCTCAGATTTACTTTTCACTTACAGTAGCACAGCAGATCAACAAATTTGGTAAAAACGTGTTAAAAAAAATCTAGTTCGTTATCATATTCATAACTCCTCCTTGATGGGCTTGCTGATCTGGCAAGCAAATACCCATTCCAGCCATTTCATGCAAGTGAGTAGTTCCATTTAGTAGTCCTGCTATGGCAGGAGTAGTAGCAAATTGTGTGTGTGTGAGACCTATCCATGTATACAAAATGTGTCTTATTACTCATCTTTCCCCACAGAAGGAATATACACACAAGATTTTATATTGATGTAACACAGCAGATTAAAAGCTTTGTATTCAGGATGGTCACAGAACGAGAACTGTTTGATCACTTAATATCCTAATTTAATATGCAAACAGGGAAGTGAATGGATGTTTTTTCAATGTAATAATGTGTATACCCATAATGACACAAGGTAAGCTTCTAAGCCATGAAGATCCCAGAAGACAGACACACGGGCAGCGCTAAATAATAATGCCAAGGGGATCTGTGGCATGTTTCACCTTCACCTTTGCCCAGTGCCCTTACTATCCTGCCAAGAAAACAGTCAGGAGCTCGTAAGTTATTGCTCGTATACTGGAATGTCAACACTAAATATGAAGCATGTATTTTCTACTACTGCTATGGATACCCTGGTTCAAAAGCTAGAAAGTTCTTTGGAACTGGTTATTTTTAAATTGGCCATTTTCAATAGGAATGCACCACTATTATTTCTCAATCATACTTTTTATCCCTAAGAGATCTACATAGTGGGTATGAACATGTCTATTGTAATGCAGATGTTATTTGTTTGTAGCATATACTGTTTTTTTCCACAAATAGTTTATCTTCTACAGATTGTACTATGGCTCCATAAAATAGAAACATATTATTTTAATTAGTTTTGTACCTGATAACACAAAATGACTTCCCAACTATTTACTTATCCGGTTTCTCCTTACAAAACTCCACATTCTCTGACACAAACACAACCATGTGATGGATATCATACCAGGAAATATAGAAGCAAAGATGTGTATCTTCTATTTCATAAAATCATAATTTGATTAAAATACCCCATAACCAATCTTGGCACTGCTTCCTTACTTTTCTCAAATACTTTCTTGACAAACCAGAAGAAAAAAAAATTAAAATTATACTTTGTGGATGATTTTGGTTAAAACTGGATTTATTTCGATTTAGATTAATTATTTTAGTATCAGATAAAAGCACACCTACACCTGTAGCTGTTCTTAAGCTAGAATAAGAGTATCTGCACTGATGCCTAAACCTGCAGAGCTACATTGGTTCAAATTTATCAACACTACTAGAGGAGATGCTGAGAAACATATGGTTCAGCCACAATGAGAATTCTCCCTTGGAAGGAAAACGATAGCGCTAGCACCCAGGAGAGGGAACACATAGACCCAGAAGCTGAAGGACACGTGTGGAAAATTCAAAGGGCTCCCAACAACTGCTAGAGCCCATGGCCAGAATTTTTATGGTGGAACAGCTGCACTACAGTCCCTCAGAGTAGGTATGGGAGGGCAGCACATACTTTTTCTCTCTAAAACCCTTAACTTAATTCCTGTTTGAAAGGCTTTTTGCTAAAAGGAATTGATTTTGCCCTCCATGCATTAGATTCTGCCATAGGAAAAACACACACAGCTCTGGTCAGGTTGCCTCAACAGCTGTAAATATCTAAAGCAAACCCAAATCATTCCTCATGTGTTCCAAGATTATTTGCTCTAGGAAGCACATGAAATATGAACACTTACTTGGTGATCAAAGTGATCCAAACTGCAGTGCAACTTCTACCAGAACACCTTGCAGTTTTGCACTGCGGTGCAAAGAGCAAAGCTGTATGTATACACTGTGGGACACTGGCATACACCTTTGCAGTCCTGGGGTGCAAAAATTAAACCTGCATACATGTTTTATTTTGTTTTGAAAGCCATCCATCCCTTTGCTGGCAGTGTCATAATTTTCACAGTTATTTCTTCAGACCTGTCAGAATGTACCGGCCGCTTGGCATACTCAATGTTTGAAGACAGTCCTTCAAAAAAAAAAGAGACATCCTGAACGCTCCTGCTTGTTGCCTGTTTCTCAGCGTGAAAAGCTCCACCAAACTTTTTAAAATATCCTAACAGAGAATAAAGCCTGGTCATTTCCCCTGTGAAACCTGTGAATATCCAAAAGTAAGAGAACGAGCTGTTTTGCATACCTGACTACATTAGTGCCAAACACAAGAGGGGAAAGGGGCCTCTAAAGGATAATAGCAAAATATGAGGTTTATTGGCTCAGCTGATCATGCTATACAAAAAATGCTTTCATAGCAGAGGTTTAGGTCTGATTGCACAGGGAATTATCTTTACAATGGTAACAGTTCATGGGATCATAAGCGCTTGTTAGTGAGCAAAAGGTGAAAACTCTCCCAAATCTCTGACCCTTGGTGCCAGCCACGGTACCTGGTACGTGTGTAACATCAGACATGCCCACAGTCAGAACACCCCCTGGTGCTCCACCATCAAGGCAAAGCATTCAAAATCATGTATTTAACATCTACGGCATCCAGTAATTCGATCACTCCTACAGCAACTGCTGGCTGGTATCATACAGCCTAAATGTGACAACCCCAGAAAATTAAAGTAGGAGTCAATGATCTTCCATACTTTTAGGCATTCTGACCAATTAATGTCAGACCAATCTCTCTTCTCACTGGGGATTAGTTACAACCCCTGTAAGTCACTGAGGAATAGCTTTGCTATCTGTCCATCTGTGACCTGAATAGAGTGCCAGAGGCTATAAATGCATGATTATCTTCCTCTGCAAAGTAGGTCACTTAAGGAAAATTAATCCGAAAAGCTCCAGTCCCCACATTTAGCCAGTTGGAGAAGGCTTACGAAGGCAGGGGGTGGGGAGCACGCATTAATGAGTTGCATTCAGAATGGAGATACCTTCACAACACAAAGAAAAAAAAGCAGTTCAAATCAGATATTTTCTGCTTTTTGTATCAGTACTGCTTATTCATTGTTTGCTGAGTTGCACGCAGTACCAACACTATGAAACATGGTTTAAGCTTTATTTCGGATTTATAGAACTAAAATATGCAGAATTCTGCTTTATTAATATTTTATGGGTTTTAATATTGGATTCATTGCATAAAATGAATTAATTTAAAAACTGGATTTCTTACTACAGGGTAGTCATGGTTTCAAAGAACTACAGTTACTCAAAAGCACGTAAATTCTTTTCTTCAGGTGTCACTGTGATCTGCACTGCAGGTGTATGGTGGGCAGTGCTACCTTGGGATAGCAGAAGTGAGGAGGAATTCAGCCGAGCGGAGAATGGAGTACTTTCACTACAAAATTTGGCATCTGGTA